GACCTTTCAGTCCGCAGGCCGACGCTCTATCCACTGAGCTAAACTGGTTTCAGCAATAAAGTCTTTTTATGAAAAACAAAAACAAAAACAAAAAAACCCACAAATGAATGATTTTACATATATGAAAAAAATTAAGGAAATTAAAATCAGAGCACACTGTAGAAAATACATTTTACCCATTCTGACCCAACACACATATACACATATAAAATTGAAGCAAAGATTTCACAAAACTATACTTTGTCAGTTCTGTTGTACTCATATTTTTTATTTTTTCTGTATTACATATAAAAATGTAGATATAATCCACTAAATTGGGTAGGACTGCAGACTGAGTTTGCACAGCATAGCTCTAAAACAGTGTTTCCCAAAGTGTGGTACTTGTACCCCCAGGGGTACGGGAAGAGTTTGGTGGGGGTACGCATTGCACGGGAGTTTGGTGGGGATATGCACTGCACCGTGCTTAGCTGTGCCTAATTCTACATTCTCATGAGTACGAGGGGTACTCTGCGTTACGAAAATTATAGAAGGGGTACACATATATCAAAAGTCTGGGAAACACTGCTCTAAAACAATATAAGGAAAAAGATTCATTTCTACTAGCCCCTCCCCCTTCTTTGAAACACAATGGCTATATCTCAGTCTTTTCTGATGGAAAGTAAGAGGATAATACCACTCCCTTCCCCATTAAAAAAAGTTCCTTTTGCTGGTAAGTTCTCCCTTAGGTCTTCCAGGCTTCTTTGGGCCACTAATGGCCATTACTCTTTCACCCTTCTTGGCTGAGCTCAGTACAGGTGTGTGGTCAGTCACTGAGTTTTAAGGCTGGCCACTCATTAGTTTTGCTTTCTCAACTTGTTACAAACAAAAGGACATTCCTAAAATGAAAACAAGAGCATCAAGGCAAACCAGTAAGTATTTGTGAGTGTGTGAATTAAGGAGCTGGCTGGGTGAGGGTGTCAGAGTTCAGTGATCACTGGAGCTGAGCCCTAGAGCGGTGGTTTTCTTTTGTTCACTTAGCAGAAGGTGTGGTGCTGGTTGGTCCCACCTTGAGATATTGACCTTTTATCATCTAGTTTGGTAGGTAAATCTTAGAAAGAACTCAAGTATGTATTTTAACTGAACACTACGCTGTGATATTCAGAACTTACAAAAATATTTAAAAACATTAGATAAGACCAAATCTATGTTTAATGAAAATAAAGCAATATACAAAATTGCATACAATGTATGCTCCAATTGTGTTTAAATGTGTTTATAAATGTGCTTGTTTAGAAAATATACACTGGAATCTTAACTTGGTGGTGGGATTAATAGTAATTTGAAATTTTCCTTTATTAAAGTTTTTTGACAATAAACTTTGCATTGTAATAGAAAAGGCTCAGTTGAAAATACAAATTTCCTATACATTAATATGTATTTGCACATAGGCAAAGAAAAACCTTTATTAAAATGTTGGTTAAAGCCCAGGTTTCTATTGGCTGTGTTTTGGAGACTTCTGTCCAGGTGGAATGTGCATTTCAAATTATGATTCATCTTTTTGTTCCAAGCCTGATTTTTTTCTCTTTCCTGTCTAAGTTATAAAAGCTTACCAAGCCTTGTTTCTCATCTTTGCTGAGGATTTCCTTTCTCTCTGACCTGCTCAAGATTGTTGATAATGAATATTCACTTATGGTTGCCCATTACTTGATAATTTGGAAAGTTTTAATATTCATTATTAAGGTCATCCATATGGCATGAGTTTAAGGGATGGAGAGGGTTTTGGATGAATTAGGCGATATCTTTTTGTTAAGTTTGGAAAATATCTAGTTTTAGTGGGCTTCAGAAACAAAATAGAAAGAAACATACAGTGAAAGACGAGGAAAATGAAAGCATTATGAACCAACCAAACAAAACATGGCCTGAATAGTTTATTTTTGTGGGCATTGGTGAGGGTTTGGTCTTGCATTTATTAAAACCATATTTTATGGTTATTGAGAAGCATTAGGTAACAGAATATGATTTTTCTTTATGTGTGTATAATGATTGTATTTATTATAATTTGCTTAAATACCTGAGATTTTGAGGAAAATTAAAGTTATCTAGTAGACATTGAAAATACTTTTGGATTTGTTTGCATGTCAAGGAAGCCCTGTATTGGTATCAAGATTAAAGAGAATAAATTATCAGCAAGTACCTGTGCAAGGTACTGTGCCAAATATTGCATATAGGATAAAAATATAGCAAACCCCCTCTCCCTCAAGCTGGTCTTTTGGACAGGTAGTTGTCAAAGTTGTTCAAATTATCATAATTCTTTAAAGTAATATTCTTTGCATTCCTTAAAGGACTGGCAGATTGTTGTGGCTACTGTTTTCCAACTTTTTTTTTAAAAAGTATAACTGCTACCTCATATGTGATTGTGAATCTTTATGAATAATTTAAAAAAGTTTGCATACTAAATTGCCAAAATACTTCAAATTTTGGGCCCCATTTTTAATTTACTTAATTAAAAAACATTTGTGTGTTAATCCTCATCTGAGGATATTTTCCCATTGGTTTTTAGGGAGAGAAAGAAACAGAGGGAAAGACAAGAGAGAAATATGGATGTGGGAGAAACACATGATTGGTTGCCTCCTGCACTAGCCCTGACCAGGTCCCAGGCCAGGGAGAAGCCTGCAACCAAGGTACATGCACTTGACCGGAATTGAACCTGAGACCCTTTAATCTGCAGGTCGACCCAATATTCACTGAACCAAACTGGCGATGGCTGGGCCTTGTTTTTTATACTTGAAACTAAGAATGGGTAATTTCCAGATATCTAAATGATTTAAGCTGAGATGTTACCTCTCTGGAGATCTGATGGTGATGTGGTTCCTCCGTTGGTGCCAGAGAATCCCTGGGTACAAGGGTGGTTCAGTGTGGCTGGCCAGGCATCTTGCCTGAGGTGGATGCCCATGGGTTGAGGGGGCATGTGGTGGGCAATGTGGCAGGTGAGGTGGGTCAGAACATTGAGGACCTGGGAGACTCAGGTAGCTCTTTCAGGTTCCAGAAAGTGTTTCTTCCTTCCCAGGCCTCTGGAGAGAGACAGTCCAAGTCCAGCAAGCAATCATGTGAAATGCAAGTTTTTGAAACTATTGAATGGCTTTCTTACGTTGTTTTGTGTGGGTGTCCTTTACCAATTATATTGCATACTAATAGGAATTTAGGAGCCAAATTAGGTTTATGCATTATTCAGAGTAATAGAAGAACAATCCTTTTTTTCTATTCATTTAGAATTATTAGTTAGCATTGGTTACATTTTTTTCCCCCGGTCCTCTCTGGACTCAAATTTTTGTGTAATTTCCCTAAAAATTGGAATTAATGAAGAAGTAAGTTTTTTTTTAAAGAAAGTATTTATTGAAAACTGTTCAGAGTTTATTTTTGTAGCCCTCTCATAAGTCTTTTCTAAATAGATACCTCAGGTTTGTATGTTTTAAAAATGACTTTTATGCCCTGCCAAGGTAGCACTCAGTTGAATGTTGTCTTGATATACCAAGGTTGCAGGTGTAATCCCTGGTCTGGTTTTGCAATTCCATCTTCAGTGGCTCCTTCTTCTGCCTAGCACATGTGTCAAACACAAGGTCCGAGGGCCAAATCCGTCCCGCCAGGCCTTGCAATGTGGCCCGCACCGCGCTGTCATCACTGCACTCCGCTGCGTTTCCATCACAATGACAGTTTATGACTGTTCAGTAAACCATTCGGCCCGAGATTTAGGCTGGATTTTAGATTTTGGCCCCTTCTCTGATTGAGTTCGACACCCCTAGAGAAATACTGAGGCCACTCCTATTTTTGGGCCACGGGAAAAGTAGGGCTGCTTTCCCTGTAACAAATGTTTCTGCAAAGGTAATCTGGGGGCTTTTCCCCCTTTCTCACTGCTCAGATATTTATATTCTTTACCAGTCAAACAAATGAACCTGTTTTCTAAGTGACTTTCCTGTGTTTGGGACCAATGCTTTCTTTTTTCCTGCATTTGGTATCATTTAAAAAAAAATATATATTTTATTGATTTTTCACAGAGAGGAAGAGAGGGGGATAGAGAGTTAGAAACATCAATGATGGAAGAGAATCATCTATCAGCTGCCTCTTGCACACCCCCCACTGGGGATGTGCCCGCAACCAAGACACATGCCCTTGACCGGAATCGAACCTGGGACCCCTCAGTCCGCAGGCCGACGCTCTATCCACTGAGCCAAACCGGTTTCGGCTAGTATCATTTTATATAAGTAAAAACATTTTGGCATTTCTTCCTTCAGTTAGCAGGTAGTGTTGTAGCAGACATTATGGGCCAGGCTGGATCCCAGACTGGATATCAGGGTCTAAAGAGATGGAGAGCCTGCTTTTTCCATAGTTAAGGAGCTTAGAGTTCATTGTGTGGTTGGAACTGGCAGACGATGGGACAGGTAACTGCTGTAAGAGGAATGCAGAGGGGGAGGTAGAAATACACAGATAAATACATAGGCCTGCTCCAGAGCATTGGGAATTTTGACACTGGGCAGGAGTTTGCCAGGTAAGGAAACAGGTAAAGGATGCTTCAGTGGGAGGAAATAATTTGGGCAAAGGCAGAGAAAGCCATACTTGTTTAGAGAAGCACAAATCGATGAGTTCTGTTGGAGCCTAAAGTATAATGCAGGCTGTGGTAGTGGACAAGGCCATGATAGTTATGCAAGAGACTGATCTAAATGATTGTGTGTATCCTGCACAGGGGTGAGACTTTCATCCTGCAGCTCATGGATTTGGGCATGTGTACCTGTGTAAGTGTGAAGGGAGGTGGATAGAAAAAGTAAGGGAAGGAGAAGCGGCATTTTTTTGTTTCTTTCCCCCATAGCAGTCTAGAGAGAGATGAGAGAACAATAGGGTGGTGGAAAGAATTGGTGAGTAACTAAAAGACATGCTGCTGGGAGCTTCCATGCCATTTGGGAGAAATGGTCACCAACCTTAACCTTAGCAATAATTCATTGCTGATGACCGTGTCCTCTTCTCTGCAGAGGCCATCCCAGCCATCATGGAGGTGGCTGAGCCGGAGAGTCGGCTGAATCCCAGCTGTAAGATCATGACCTTCAGACCTTCCATGGAGGAGTTCCGGGAGTTCAACAAATACCTCGCATACATGGAGTCTAAGGGAGCCCACCGAGCGGGTCTTGCAAAGGTGATTCTCCTCAGATCCTTTAAACCTGAATGACCACTTGGCCTTTCTCTTGGGCTCTTAGTCTTCATGATGTGGGAAATGGTTTCTCCCAAAGGAAGATATTTGTAAAATCTTTGTTCTTGTTAATCCATATTGAGCATTTATTTTTTTCAAATAATATATATATTTTTTAACTCTTTTTAGGTTGTGTTCTTGGTTTTTGTTTTTGTGTGTGTGTGTGTGTGTGTGTGTGTGTGTGTGTGTGTGTGTGGTTTGTTTTAAACCAAAAGCAGTTCATAGAAATGACAGAGATTGATATATGAGTTTTAGAGGTGTTATTGATGGCTTTCATTAGTTTCATTAGTTATTAACTGTGTCGGCCTGTGGACTAAAGGGTCCCAGGTTTTATTCTGGCCAAGGACACATTGGATTGCGGGCTCGATCCCCGCAGTAGGGGTTGTGCAGGAGGCAGCCGATCAATGATTCCCTCTCATCATTGATGTTTCTGTCTCTCTATCCCTCTCCCTTCCTGTCTGAAATCAATGAAAATATATTAAAAAATATGTTAAAAAAAGGAAGATAAAACAAAGAGAAAGTAAATGTTTATGATGAATTTCTCAGATGAGTGATCTTTAGTTTAACCACTTTATTAGGTCAGCTCTTTTAAAGATCTCATTTTTAGAACCTCAATACTTCCAGATTATTTTGTGGGATAATAGTCATTCTCAGTTTAGGAGAATGTTATTGTTTCAGAATCACTTGACAAACACAATTTACAGTAAACTCACAGTGAGTTGTCACAACTTGGGCTTTGTTGGGGTAGAGGGGAGTTGAGGGTGACTGTCCTCTTCTCTGGGCTCTGGGTGCAGCCCTTTGTCCTGTTCTCCCCCTTTTGTTTCCTGAAAGCATACATAGTCTTGTGTTCCATAGAGATTAGTGGTTGTCCTGTGGTAGGGTGGCAGGCATGTTTAGTAACATGAGAAGAGGAAGCAGCAACTGCCCTCACAAAGGACTGTCAGGCACGGAGTGCACCTGTGCCGCCTTTGGTGTTATGGATCAGAATAAAGTTAATGAGAACTACAGTTAACCTTCTGAATCTTGAACAAAACACACCTGGGTCCAGACTTTTTTGAAAAATGAGACTCATTGAGCAAGTTGGAGATACTCATTTATTCAGCTTGTGAAGATTTCCTTTTACTTAATTAGGAATACAGTGAACTGTTGGTTTTTAGTCATTTTGCCATCTCTATCAAGTCACATAAATTCAGTTTTACCTAGTTTCCCTCTTTTTTTTCTAGAACTTGCAGCAAATAAATGTATAAGACTGCATCAAATCATATCAGATTGCAAAAATTAAAGCTATTAATGTTGATAGTTTGCTTTGAGGGCTAGCCCTGGGGAACAGAGCCATCCATGAGAGTCTTCGTTAATGCACCATTAATGAATTGGTCTTGACTTATCATTTGAGAACAATGGTTGAGTAGTTCCTTAGTTTCTCAAGAAATGACTGGTCTCAGGTTACAGTCTGTCTTAATTTTTTATTTTAGCAACATCTTTTATATTTGTACTAGAGGCCCAGTGCATGAAGTTCATGAATGGGTAGGGTCGGCAATCAGGGCCTATCTTTGGGGTGACGAGGTGGGCGATCGGGACAGGGGTGGGAAGGGTAGGAGGTGGGTTGACTGTTGGCACACGCCTTGGCTGGCCTAGGGCCTGCAGGCTGAGGGCAGCTCCTGCATTGAGCACCTGCCCCCACAGTGACCAGTTATTCCACCTTTTGGTTGATTTGCACATCAGGCTTTTATTATATAGGATTTTATTTTTTAGTTTATCTTTATTGTTGAAAGTATTACAGATGTCCTTTTCCCCCCTCATTAATACTCCCTCGCTTCTTTCTCCTAGGCCTTCACCACATGGACTGTGTCCTTGGGTTATGTATATATGCATATAGCTTCTTTGGTTAATCTCTTCCCATCCCCCTCCTTCCCTCTGAGATTTATATTTTAGATTTAACTTTTATTTCCAGAGTGAGAGATTTGATACCCTAATTATCTACAAAGTTGGTGGTTGAGTTGGGAAAGCGTAGAGTGACAGGCTCTTTAAATGTAAAGCTTGTATTATTTTTGTGGAGGAAGAGTATGATAACCATTATTATATCTAAAGCCAAGGCATTTACCTTGGCCTGGATGGTGTGGCTCAATGGTTGAGTATGGATCTATGAACCAGGAAGTCACAGTTCGATTCTAGGTCAGGGCACATGCCCTGTTGTGGGTTCCATCTCCAATAGGGCACGTACAGGAGGCAGCCAATCAATGATTCTCATCATTGCTGTTTCTTTTTTATTTTTTTTAAATGTGGGAGCAGGCCTAAGTCAGCAGGTGGACATCCCCTGAGGGCTCCCAAATTGTGAGAGGGTGCAGGCCGGGCTGAAGGGCTCCCTCCCAGTGTATGAATTTCGTGCACTGAGCCTCTTATATGAAAAGATAAGTAGTGCAAATATAGATTTTTTTCTTTAAACCTAATCCTAATACTAAACCTAACACTAATCATAAACCTAACCTTAGCTTTCAAACCTTAACCTTAACCCTAGCACTAACACTAACTGAATCTATGCCTATCCCTAACCGAAACCCTAACCTAACCTAACCTAACCTAATCTATTACTCTATATCTAACTCTAACTTTAACTCTATCTCTATTCCAAACTCTGACCTAAACTCTAGCCCTATCTTAACCGATTGTAGCTTTTAACTTAACTCTAATCCTAACCCTAACACTAACTTTCTAACCCTAGTCCTAATTTTATCCTTAAGCCTAATGGTAACAACCTACCACTAACCCTAAACCTAAACCTACCCCTAATCTTAATCCTAATTCTAAACCTAAGCCTAACTTTAAAAGTAACCTTAATCCCTCTTAAATAAACAAAATAAACTTTAAATCTAACAAGGTATTTAGAGGGTATAGAGTTGCTGTTTTGCAAGATAGAGTTCTGGATATGGATGATTGTGATAGTTGCACACAATATGAAGTACTTAATATCACTGAATGGTACACTTAAAAACAGATAAGATGGTAATTGTTATGTAACATGTATTTACCATAATAAAAAGATTTAAGAAAAAACAAAAACAACCCTAATCTAACTCTAAACTTAATCTTAAACATAGCCCTAATATTTAAATTCTAAATTTAACCCTAAACCTAAGCATAACCATAACCCTAACATTAACCATAAACCTATCCCTAACCCTAACCCAATCCTTAGCCTCATCTCTAAACTCTATACCTACTAGTAAACCTAACTGTATTAGTCCTTATCCTAACCCAAAACCTACCTTTTAACACTAACCTTAAACATAAACCTATACCTAACCTGAATTCTAACTTTGACACTAACCGTATACTAACCCTAATAACTTTCATCCTAATCTGTAATTGTAGTATTAATTCTGATGTTTGCTTTATAATAATTTACAGAATTAAATATTTGGAATGATATTTTTTGTATGTGTACTGTTTCACAATTTTTTAAAGAAGTTTGTCTTAAAAAATTAAAACATCTTCTGAAGGTAGATAAATTTTTCCTAACTGGTTTGGCTCAGTGGATAGAGCATCAGCCTGCAGACTGAAGGGTCCCAGGTTCGATTCCAGCCAGGGCATTTACCTTGGTTGCAGGCACATCCACAGTAGGTGTGTGCAGGAGTCAGTTAATTGATGTTTCTAACTATCCCTCTCCCTTCCTCTCTGTAAAAAAATCAATAAAATATATTTTAAAAAGGTAGATAAATTCTAGCTATAAATAATGACTTCATAATTTTGTCCTTTCCAAATTTTAATCATATGAAAATGTATTTGTGGTCTTAGTGCCCACTCATCATTCCATTATTTGTAATGAAGTGTTTGAATACTATGGGAAAACAGTGGTGAGCTGAGCTACCTCCTACAGCAGGGGTCTTCAAACTACGGCCCTCGGGCCACATGCGGCCCGCAGAGGAGTCTGATCCGGCCCGCCAGGTTTTTTGGGCAGTGAGCGCAGCCGAGGTGTTACAGTAGGAATTAGAAGTTCATATAGTCCGGCCCTCCAGCTCTCTGAGGGACCGTGATCTGGCCCCCACTTTAAAAAGTTTAAGGACCCCTGTCAGGCACATAGGAATTGATGGTTCACATCTTTTTCCTACTCCAGGGAGTCATGTTGGTAATCTCAAAGTAGCCATGGTTAGAGTGGTTACCATGGAAATACGCAAAAGCTGCAAGTCAAAGTTTCCCCCACTTTCTCAGTAAGCTGGTTGTTAAATATTTACTAGTATACTACTCTGCTTTTTGTCATATTGCATGAGAGGTATTTAAAATATACTATTGATGAATGCACATTTCATTGTTGTTGTGGTTTTTTTTTTTTTTTTTAAAGATTTTTAAAATTGATTTTGAGAGAGAGAGAGAGAGAGAGAGAGAGAGAGAGAGAGAGACATCTATGTGAGAAACATGGATTGCCTGCCTCCTGCATGCCCCTTTACTGAGGATGGAACTGTAACCTGGGTATGTGCCCTGACCGGGAATTGAACTGTGCATGGAATGATGCTCAAGCAACAGCCACACTGGCCAGGGCTCACTGTCTCCCCCTCCCCCCCCTTTATTTATTTATTTTTAAAATTGATTTTAGAGAGGGGGAGGGGAGGGATAGATAAGAGAGAAACATCAATTGGCTATCTCCTGGGGATCGGGATTAAGCTGGAAACCCTGGCATATGCTTTGACCAGGAATCGACTGGGGACATCCTAGTTCATGGATTGATGCTCAACCACTGAGCCTTACTGACTGGGCTCATTGTCTTTTTTTCTTTTCTTTTTTCTTTTTAAAAAAATATGTTTTATTGATTTTTTTTTACAGAGAAGAAGGGAGAGAGATAGAGAGCTAGAAACGTTTATGAGAGAGAAACATCGACCAGCTGCCTCTTGCACACCCCCTGCTGGGATGCGCCTGCAACCAGTGTACATGCCCTTGACCGGAATCGAATCTGGGACCTTTCAGTCTGCAGACCGATACTCTACCACTGAGCCAAACCGGTTTTGGCTCATTGTCTTTTTTCATTATGTCAAGAGAAAAGATATTTTTGGTGTGGTAAACAAAGCTTTGGAGGTAAATTGACAGCATGATTGACTTAGCCATTGTAGTCAGTCATTTTCAGACAAATGAAAAGTTAACGTATACATTGGCTGAATAAATATTTAGTTATTTTTCTCACTAGTTCCTAAATAGTACCTAAAGTTTAGAAATTATTTTAGTACTTTTTAAAAAATTTCTTTTTTTTTTTAATAGATGAGAATCCCCCCTCCCCCCCCCCTTTTTTTTTTTGCATAAGTTCAGGTAATTTTTTTAAAAATATGTTTTATTGATTTTTTTTTACAGAGAGGAAGGGAGAGGGATAGAGAGTTAGAAACATCGATGAGAGAGAAACATCGATCAGCTGCCTCCTGCACACCCCCTATTGGGGATGTGCCCGCAACCAAGGTACATGCTCTTGACTGGAATTGAACCACAGGCCAAAGCTCTATCCACTGAGCTAAACCGGTTTTTGGCTTTAAATTTCTTTACTGATTACGATGTTACATATGTATCCTTATCCTCCCCCTCATGCCCTTTTGTCCGAGTCCATTGGTTAGGCTTATATGCATGAATACAAGTCCTTTGGTTTATCTAGTTCTGTCTCTTAATTTTAAAGTTTAAAATTGAGTTCAGCCAGTGTGTCTCAGTGGTTGGGCTTCAACCATGAACCAAGAGGGCAGGGTTCAATTCCAGGTCAGGGCACATGTCTGGGTTGGGGCCTCAATCCCCAGTAGGGGGCGTGCAAGAGGCAGCTGATCAGTGATTCTCTTATATCATTAATGTTTCTCTCTCTTACTCTCCCTTCCTCTCTGAAATCAATAAAAATATATTAAAAAAATAAAATTGAGAGGTTAATAATATCAACTAAAAAATGAAGTTAATATAAGTACAGTATTTTGTATAGTTAGTACTCAATAAGTTTTGCTGTGTAAAAGAATCCTTGTCAGTAAGGTGAATACTTGGGAGAATGTGAGCATTACCCTTAATATGAATCTTCATGATCCTTTTACACATTTGTCAGAAATGCTGACAAACTCTTCACTTGTATTCTGTTGAAATATGCGAGCTAAATAGCTACTTGGGATATTTTCAAGATAATATTTTATTTTATTTTATTTTTAGGTGATTCCTCCTAAGGAGTGGAAGCCACGGCAGTGCTATGATGACATTGATAATTTGCTCATCCCAGCACCAATTCAGCAGATGGTCACAGGGCAGTCGGGACTGTTCACTCAATATAATATCCAGAAAAAAGCCATGACAGTGAAGGAGTTCAGGCAGCTGGCCAACAGTGGCAAGTGAGTGGGTTCAATTTGCTGCTTTTATTTCTTTCAAAGTTATACTTGGACATGGTCAGAAACCAGTAGGTGGAGCTTGTAATGAAAACGAATCTCCTGCATAATCTTTCAGTCCTAATTTGCCTATTTTTGTAGTTCATGTGATTGCCTACTTGCATTTAGTTTGTTGCTAAGAAAATTGTTCTTCATTTTACCATCTAATTCATAATATCTGTAAATGGGTTTTTCTTTTAATTGTCATGAGTTTTTAAAAAAATACATTTTATTGATTTTTTACAGAGAGGAAGAGAGAGGGATAGAGAGTTAGAAACATCGATGAGAGAGAATCATCGACCAGCTGCCTCTTGCACACCTCCTACCGGGGATGTGCCCGCAACCAAGGAACATGCCCTCGACCGGAATTGAACCCCTGGACCTTTCAGTCTACAGGCCAACGCTCTATCCACTGAGCCAAAGCGGTTTCAGCTGTCATGAGTTTTTGAGTGTACTCATGATTCATCTTTGTAAGGCAAATTTTCTTCTTTGTGTGACAATGTTTAAGTCTTAAATGATAAATTAAACATATTAGAATATGTAATTATAAATATTATACATAAAATAAAATTCTTGAATGACTTCAATGGCCGCCATTATTGCTTTAGTTGTCAATTGCAGAGTGATTAAAAAACAAGTTATGTTGTTGCTGACATGTATTGTGTAGTTAGGCACCAGATGGTTGTGGCTGTATTAAATATGTATAGATATTTTTTCTTGTCATTATTTCCTAAACAATGCAGTATAACAACTATTTACATAGCATTTTCATTGTATTAGGTATTATAAGTAATCTAGAGATTAAAGTATATGGGAGGATGTGGGTAGCTTTTATACAAATACAAGGGCATTTTATATGAAGCATTCATGGATTTTGGTATCCATGGGGAGATTCTGGAACCAATCTCTCATGAATACTGAGGGATGACTTTATAGTATAATTGATTCAAGATTTAAGGACATATTTCAAAAGTTAAATAATGAATTTTTGACAATTATCTACTTCTGTTGTTGATACTGTCAGGAAAATATTTTCCTTACTAGTAAAAAATGCAAAGTTTTCATAGTGTTATTTAGAAATTTTAAGAGTATTCTGATATCTATGATAAATACATATGCATATTTACTTCTTATTTTTTATTTATTTATTTATTTTTTAAAAAATATATTTTATTGATTTTTCACAGAGAGGAAGAGAGAGAGATAGAGAGCCAGAAACATCGATGAGAGAGAATCATCGATCAGCTGCCTCTTGCACACCCTCCACCGGGGATGTGCCCGCAACCAAGGCACATGCCCTTGCCCGGAATCGAACCCGGGACCCCTCAGTCCGCAGGCCGACGCTCTATCCACTGAGCCAAACCGGTCCCGGCATATGCATATTTACTTCTTAGATTTGACATTATGAGTAGCTAAGTATTTTCATTTTGATAGAATTTTCTTTAGAAAGTGATATAAATCAAATGGGTGGGGGAAATCTTAAAATTGTCTTACTAATTTGTACTTTTTTCATGGACTTTTTCCAGATATTGTACTCCAAGATACTTGGATTATGAAGATTTGGAGCGCAAGTACTGGAAGAACCTAACTTTTGTGGCACCTATCTATGGTGCAGACATTAATGGGAGCATATATGATGAGGTATATTTATATCATAATAGGTTTGTGAAGGGTCATGTCATGTTGCTACTCATGTGACCACTTTAGGTGGTCGAGTAGTCATTTGTTGTGCTTTGTGTGATTCATAATTCCTAACAAGTCAAGAATAAGTAGACACATCAACAGTATTTCTGCAGCTGGTATTTTCAAATAGAAGCCAGCTAATTGAACAAATACCTGGTTATTCAACAGTAATATAGTATGTGGCTATCTGGCTAATCTTTAAATTGTGTCAAATTTTTAAAAAATAAGACCCATGATGAAACTATTTGGAAAACAGGAAATATTCATAATACCACATTAAGGTAAAAAGCAGTATTTTAATATGTGTTCATTTTTCCACAAGTTTTTCTTTAATAATTTTTCTTCAAATTGTAAGAATTTTTAAAAAAGTGCCTATTATTAGTGTCTTTTCGGTGTCTCTAGTTTTGGCTTTATGCTCAAAACTTTTGTGAATGGTTTGCACATGTTTCCCAGGGTATAGAAGTGTTTCTGTAGTGCGCATGCCTAGGAGTGGTTAACTGTAGAATAAAATTATTTTCAATTCTACACCTTTCTATGGCAGTGTTTGTGAGTTCCCACTGCTGCCCATTCTCTGGCACGCTATTTTCATCAGTCTTTTAATTTTAACTACTCAGTTGGGTGTATGTATTATCTTTTTGTTTCATTGTGTTATGATTTTTCACCTTATTAAAAAAAACATTTTTATTGATTTCAAAGAGGAGGGGAGAGGAAGAAAGAGATTGAAACATCAGTGATGAGAGAGAATCATTGATTGGCTGCCTCCTGCATGCCCCCTATTGGGGACTGAGCCCACAACCCGGGCATGTACCCCTGACTGGAATCACACCTGGAACCCTTCAGTCCATAGGCCAGTGCTCTCTCCACTGAGCAAAACCAGCTAAGGCTCCCCTTACTTTTAATATATTTTATTGATATTTTACAGAGAGGAGGAGAGAGGGATAGAGAGTTAGAAACATCGATGAGAGAGAATCATCGATCAGCTGCCTCTTGCACACCCCCCACTGGGGATATGCCCGCAACCAAGGTACATGCCCTTGACTGGAATCGAACCCGGGACCCTTCAGTCTGCAGGCCGATGCTCTATCCACTGAGCCAAACCTGTTTTGGCTTCCCTTATTTTTAATGGCTCTTTGGATTTCCCCTTGAACGTAGTACCTGTTTAAGCTTCTTGTACATTTTTCTTCTGTGTCATGCATTTCTTATTGATTTATAGTTTTTTAGACAATCTGGGTATGAAGTAGTTCACAATTTCAAATTTTCCAAATGGATTTCCAATTGTTGCACACTGTTACTTTTTAAAAGGTTTATTTATTGATTTGAGAGAGAGAGGAAAGAAGAGCAAGGGCGGGGTGGGGGGGAGGCAAGGGGGCGGAGGGAGAAACATTGATTTTCCCCCCCCACAGTTTATGCATTTATTGATTGCTTCTGTACTAGTTTGTGTCCTGACCGGAGATTGAACCCAGAAACTTGGCCTATCAGAATAATCATCTAACCAACTGAGCAATCTGGCTAGGGCCTGAATACTTATTGAAAGCCCATTCTTTTTTTTTTCTTTAAAAAAAATATATATTTTATTGATTTTTACACAGGGAGGAATTAAGAGAGATAGAGAGTTAGAAATGTCGATGAGAGAGAGTCATCGACCTGCTGCCTCTTGCACACACCCACACTGGGGATGTGCCCGCAACCAAGGTACATGCCCTTGACCAGAATCCAACCTGGGACCTTTCAGTCCATAGGCCGACGCTCTATCCACTGAGCCAAACTGGTTTCGGCTGAAAGCCCATTCTTATTTTTTAATATGAATTGCGTATCAGATGATACTGTGGACTTATTGTTGTCATTATTAGATGTAATGATGGCTATATAAATATTTTTTTGTTGTCAACTGAAAATGCATACCTAAAAAATATATAGGTGAAGTAACATAAAGTCTGGGACTTAGTTTTTAAGAAATTTCAGAAAACGAAGTGGAATGAGTGTAGTTGAATGAATTGGCAAACTATTAGTTACTGGAGCTCACTGATGAATTATATGATATCTTAAATATGTATATGTTTGAAATATTAAGAATAAAAGTAAAAAAAGAAAGAAAACATCCTTCATTCTCATTCTGGTTTTTCACTAGTATAATTAACTTCTGTATGGAAACCTTTTTTCTTAATTAATAAGGTATTACATACTTGGGTAGAAAAATGGCAACATAGGAAAAAATATGAAGAAAAAAATTCCTCATAAGCTTACCAAATAGAAATCACCATTTTATGATTTCCCTTTGGCCTTTTATTTTATGTGAGTACGTGTGTATTTTTCAGGTGTGTGTTTGGATATATGTATGAGTTTCTCCACCAAAGATCCGAGGGGTATTTTTAGATGCATTTTCAGTGTTGCTCTCCAGAGGGTCATTTCAGTGCGTTCTACCTCTAGGCAATTCTGTACTGCCATTTTCAAATTGTAGCTTTATTAAATTGCTATTATATTTTAGTATTTCAATTCCAAGTGTGTTATTATTGATTTATTCTTTAGTGCTAACAAATATCTTTTAAGTTTAACATATTAAGATTACTTTTTTTGGGGAAAATAAGTACCATTACCACGAAGGCTTTCTTACAGAACGTGGTCGGTCCTTTGTCTTATTAAATCAGGTTCTGTGGGATTTTCATTGGAGTGGGTGAGGGCATATAAATACTGTCCATAGTTTACAATTGCGGCCCATCGAGGTTACATTGCTTTTCCAAAATTTCAGGGCTAGGAGAAGGGGGTGCCAGGTGCTCTTATCCCCACATCACTTGTAAGGAAGCAATTTCGTACTCAGTCTTATAGTTGTGGGGATATGGAAAACCAGGTCGATGTCAACTACAAATTTCTCCTGAGCTGATGGTTTATTTTGGGCTTTCTCTATGGTTTCTTCGCTATGGTTTCCTGGCACGTTTTCAGGCTTCTGAACAGAAAACTTATTTGAATCAAACTGATTCTGGGCTGAGAAGTTGTGTGTCTGAGTACTCTAAATAAAATGAAACTCAGTCTGAGTTATTATTTCTAACTATCCCTTCGGATCATTGAGTTCTTTTTTTACCTCTTGGATATATATATATAATTAGAGTTAGAAGCAGTATATTTGGGACCTTTTTAATAACCCTATATAATAAAAGGCTAACATGCAAATTGTCTCCTCAACTGGGAGTTCGACCTGGGAATTCAACTGGGAGTACCAGGGCAGGAACAGCCAACTACCCATGGCCTCTCGCACCCCTTGTCTCCCCCTCACCTCCAATCGGGGGTGGGGTCGGCTGGCTAATCGCTGTCTGCCCCCTCACCTCGTCCAGCCCAGCCCTATTGGCCCTCATCAGGGCGGGCTGGCTGGACCCCACCCATGCATGGATTTGTGTACCTGGTTTCTAGCAATTGACATAAAAGCCCTGAACTAGGTTTCCATATTTGATAGTGGAGTAACAGTTGTTTCCTACATCAATGAGGCTGCTGGACTTTGGTTTACTATGCTTATCAATTTACTGCTTGTGTTAAAAAACCAGTTATACATTGGCATTGCTTCAAGCAAACATTGGCTTTAGACTAAGATTTGAATAACTTGTTATTAAAAGCCAATAAAAAAAAATCCACTGTTTTGTAAAAATGCAGTTTTAAAGCTTCCTCATTATTTATAGGTTTAGGGGCCAGGAATCTGTCATTTTGGTAGGGTTTGCAAGTAATAGTATGTTATAGATTTCATCTAGGCTCTGCAGGAGCATTTAGTAGCTCCCAAGCTAAGCTGACATTTTCAGTGCTTTTGTGACATAAAGAAAGACATGAGTATCTGTTTCTCTGCCAATAACATGCTGTTTTGATTATTATAGCTCTGTAGTATATTTTGAAGTCAGGTAGCATGATACCTCCAGCCTTATTCTTTTGTTTCAGGATTGCTTTGGCAATTCTGGGTCTTCTGTGGTTCCATACAAACCTGATGATTTCTTGTTCTATTTCTTTAAAAAATGACACTGGGATTTTGATGGAGAGTGCATTAAATCTGAATATTGCTCTGGGTAAAATGGCCATTTTAACTATGTTGATTTTTCCAATCCATGAACATGGGATATTTTTCCATTTCGTTGTGTCTTTTTCAATCTCTTTTAATAATGCTTTGTAGTTTTCAGTATATAGGTCTTTCACATTCTTTGTTAAGTTGATTCCTAGGTATTTTACTCTTTTGATTGTGACTGCAAAAGGAATTGTTTTCTCTATTTCTTTTTATGAAGTTTTATTGTTGGTATACAGGAAGGCAATGGATTTTTGTACATTGATTTTGTATCCTGCAACTTGACTGTATTTGTTTATTGTTTCCAGTAGTTTTTTGGTAGAGTCTTTAGGGTTTTCTACATACAGACAGCATCATGTCATCTGCAAAAAGTGACAGTGACTTCTTCCTTCCCTATTTGGATGCCTTTTATTTCTTTCTCTTGCCTTATTGTTACTTCCAGTACTGTGTTGAATAAAAGTGGTGAGAGAGGACATCCTTGTCTTGTTCCTGATCTTAGGGGAAAAGCTTTTAGTATTTTACCATTGAATATGATATTGGCTGAGGTTTTATCTTATACTAGAGGCCTGGTACACGAAATTCGTGCATGGGGGGGGTGTGTCCCTCAGCCCAGCCTGCACCCTCTCCAAGAGTCTTGGGACCCTTGAGGAATGTCCGACTGCCTGTGTAGGCCTGATCCCGGTAGGACATCCCTCTTACAATCCAGGATTGCTGGCTCCCAACTGCTCACCTGCCGCCTTCCTGATTGCCCCTAACTGCCCTCCCCTGCAGGCCTGGTTCGTCCCCCCTGCCCCCCCAACTGCTCTCCCCTGCAGGCCTTGGTTCCCCCAACTACCCTTCCCTCCAGGCCCCGTCACCACCAACTTCCCTCCTCTGCTAGCCTGGTCACCCCTAACTGCCCTCCCCTGCAGCCTTGATCGCCCCA